AGAGATAGAGCTAACATATTTCCGCCACACTTCCAATGTTTAAATTTCAACATTTCAACATACGAATGCGTATGTATAGACATAACACCACCCGTATACATACATGTGTCATAGCCGAAACTGCCCACATATGTATGAGTCCCGACGGACGACCAAGTATGTATATGTGTCTGCATACATCGATGTTCGCGTTAGTACGATGAATGACAAAACGACGAAATTTCCCCCACCACTTCCACAATAACACCAATACACGCAATCTACATAAACCCAAATTTTTTAAAACATTAATCAGTTTGTCTGACGATTGCTAAAGCGTGAAACCCAGGGTCACAAACTCACATCTATCCAACCATATATATATATATATATATATATATATATATATATATATATATATATATATATATATAAATATATATATATATATATTATATATATATATATATATATATATATATATATATATATATATATATATATATATATATATATATTATATTATGAATATATATATATATATATATATATATATATATATATATATAATTAGGTATCTCCACAATTGCATTTATGAATATATATATATATATATATATATATAGATATATATATATATATATATATATATAGATAGATAGATAGATAGATAGATAGATAGATAGATAAGTGCACAATAACCTCAACAAATTACACACACACATATATAAAGTAACAAGGAAATTAGATTTTTGCAAGAATTCCCAGCCATTTTCCTTCGATTAAATCCCAGGGGTTTGGTGAGTCATTCTCAGGGGTTTGGCAGAGGTCAAGACATGTCGTTGATGGATACCTCAACGAAATCATTGACCTTCAGCAGAGCCAGGTTGAACAGAATATCTTCAGAACAACAACGCTCTCAATGTTTTCATGCCACCAAATAGTAGGGGACCCTATTATTGCTTAGAAAGCCTTTGAGATACTCATACAGTTTGTTACAACGTATCTTTGCAAGCAATCCTTTTCGAGGAGGGTAGACGTGAAAACGAAAAAGTGGAACAGACTTTATTGTGAAAATGATATGAGAATGACACTTGCTAATAGGTACCTACACGAAATCGCTAAAAAAAATCAGCATACCGTGATGAAAACATGCTCCAAACGTAATGAAAACAGTTTTCTGGTCAAAATCTTTATGTTATTATTAAGATGAAGGATAAAACAATTTTTTGCATATTTAACGAAAGTTTTTACTCGTTTTTAGAACATTCGAAATTTTGATTAAAAAACCTGTTTTTCCTTGCGTCAGCGGTTCGTACTAACATTTAGCATAGCAAATTTTAGCCTCTTTTTACTGCGACAGACACATTAATTTTGGAAATTCTTTCAAAAATCAAATAATTGTCTGATTTTAATTAAATATTTAGGACGTATTCACAAATGAATGAAATTATATTTGAGATCTTTTTATAAGAAAATCTTGGCTAAAAATTTTTTTTACTTGTGTTTCCCCCTCTTATTTAATTTTAGGAAAACTTGAGAAGTTCAACGTGATAATTTATAGTGACTCTATTAGTTAAAATCAGAATTCTTTGGAGAATTTAAATCGCCGAATTTTTTGTTAAAATTGGAAACCGTCTTACCAAAAATCGGTTCTGAATCGAAAAATAATAAAAAAAAAAAAAAAAAAAAACGGAATGAAAATAAGACATTATTTAATTAGAGTAGCTCTTAATTGCTTTTATGAATAATATATATTAAAGACAATATTGTCTGAAGTAAAACTTTTTCGATGAAAAATGAATTTTTACAAGATTTGTTTTCATTTATTGACAATATTAAATTGAATAATTTATAAAGTTCTTAAATCTTTTAAAATTCAATTACAATGTGATAACTCTTAGGAAATATTGTTATTGTTGTAAAATTATGTTTAATATATATATATATATATATATATATATATATTTTAAGTATTACGCCCCGAGCAAGGCGTGAAGGATGAGGAGAGGGATAGTGGGTAGATCAAGGTAACTGGAGGTGTCGATTGACATTACATTTGAATAGTTGGAGATTATAGCTCTCAGGGAAACAGTAATTTGGAAGGGTGTTCCACAGGCGAGAGGTGCGAGGTATGAAGCTATTGGAGTAGAAGAGACGGCTACATTTAAAAGTTTCTACAGTGTAAGGGTGGGAGCGGGATGCCAGCCTCGTATGTCGCTTTAATTCATGGATTCTGGGAACCAGTGAAAGCAGCTCATCGGAGCAATTACCATGAAAGTATTTGTAGAAAAGACAGAGAGAGGCGACGGCGCGTCTGTGAGAGAGCGACTGTAGACGAGATGCCAGATCAGGGCCAATTATATTACATATCCATCTCTGGATTTTAAATCTTATTACAGTCTGACGACTCCGAATATTTCAAAAAAATATTTTTGATTTATTTTTATATTTGTATTTACGTACAGAAATAGAAATTCAAAACTATAACATTATCATTAAAAGGTCACATGTTTTAAGGGTCGATCATCTCCCTGTTCCGGGAGAAGAACCTTTAAAAACTTTATCGTCTGCTCCACCATACTTAATTATTAAGACGTTTAGCGGTGAGAAAAAAAAAAAAAAAAACACCCCGTAGTTAAGAAATGCTTGGATACAACATTTTATACTATAAGTATATCCTTATGCAAATTAATTGAAACAGCCTCTTTAGTTTCCATTCTTTCATCACACGGTCACTTTTAGACCCACCGGAGTGACAAGATGCAATCGATGTCTATTTTTTTTTCCAGATTAGGTAATTTGCTGTGGTGTGCAATAATACGAATCTATTTTTAGGGTGTATGATGGAATTTGTTTGGCCTTGAGAAATATTACGTCATCCGTGATTGTATCAGATGTTTATCACGCCCAGTCACTATTGTCTACACTGTTGATTAGTTGTCCTACAGCCATTTTCTGTGGTGGACGTTACTCGAAGGTAGCGTGCGAAAATTGTAATGCTACACTAACACACTGGCAAGCCTTACCAGTGAGCAAATCAAAGTAGTATGGATTGGCCTGGAAATTCTCCTGAATTAAATCTAATCGAGAATTTGTTGTCAATCTGCAAGGAACGACTTCGTGTAATGGGCATACAAAGTACTAACATGTGCACTGGGTCATGATTCAGTGAAAAAAACTGAAAAAGTGAAGAAAAACGGAATTATTCGTTTTGTTTCAATTAATTTGCACAAGGGTGTAAGTAATATTTGTTTGAAATCAGGTTAAATTAAATTTAAATTTGCTAATTTTCCTCAAATAAAGTTTCAGAAATATGTTTTATTTCTACAAGATTTTTAAAACCGAGTAATCACTTTTCTTTACAAATGGCTGTTTTTATAGAATTTACTGAAAAAAAAAATGATTCCGATCAATATAATTTCTGTTTGAAACACACTGCAGAGTATTTTGCTGACTGGAAATAATACTTTTTAAATCCTTTAGCTTTCAATTAAAATGGAAATGAAATCTTCAAGAAAGATTTTTCATTTTTAAAAACTCATTTTAAACATTACGTATACAGAATAAATCGAGGTACCTACTGTACATGTCGTATAAGTCTTTTGAGAAGGCATATACTTGTCTTACACACCGTCTTTGTATGTTTACTGATATAATGGAATATGCATACACCTGTGTTCCCCCTCACTGAAATATGATTGGCTGGTGTCCGTCAAAAATACCGACGGACGTGTAGGAGAGTCATAGCCTTAGTCTGATAGCTAAGTCTATAACGACGCCCATTGGATTACGCCATTGATCTACACTTCTTACCTGCGACTACGACGCGTACCAGTCGATTACTGCTACCGTATTCTACTTGGTTATAGTAGCCAAAACCACTTAGCTACTTCGTTCAAATATATCACTTTCCGGGATATATCATTTACTGAATTCAGTTTCTCTGTGGATGCAAGCGGTTTGCAACTAGTATAAGTCCTGTATAATTCTAGTTTCTTTCCAAAATAGGCAAAGGTTACATAGCAGTTCCAACTGATCTTTGTGTTGCACTTTATTAAACACTGTTGCATAATCTATAAATATTGTTATACATCGTGGTTTTAGGTTCGAAAAATATGAGCAATTATATATAAAAAAAAAACAATTTGATCCTATTAACCCTGACATTATCGGACGAACGCATGAAGGATCGATTGAAACATTCTATATAAAAGAGCAATGATGGGAGCAAAATATATGGTAGAAAGATTATATTTTCTCTTAACATTCCAAACAATAGAAGCTTCAAACCCAGTCTTTTTTTATAATTCTATGTTTCTTTAGGACGTAAGCGGCCATGACTGTCTGCAGGTGGTCAGGATTCTCGATAAATTTATTTTCTCTAAATTGAGATTAAATATTAACAAGGTTGGTGCAGTAGTTACTGGTTGCCTTTTCCAGGGCGGTTTCCTTCATTTTGGATCGTTGGCAACAAAGCTCGGTCTGTAAGCCCATTCCATGAAATCGTTCCTTGTAGACTGACCATAGATTCGCGATTGGATTTACATTAGGAAAGTTTCCCCGCCAATCTATAATACTTTGATTTGCTCACTGGTAAAGCTTGCCAGTGTGTTCGTACAGCGTTACAATTTTCGCACGCTAACATCTGTCGCAGACAATGGCTGTAGGACAACTAATCAACAGTATAGTCAATAGTGTCTGGGCGTGATAAACATCTGATACAATCACGGATAACGCAATATTTTTCAAGACCAATCTCAGGCTGTTAATATCTATCTATCATTGTATAGTTCAGTAGATAACGCAAGACATGGATTCACGTCCTTTCGAAGGGCGTTTTTTTTGTATTTACTAAAGTGAACGCTAAAATGTCGACTGGAATTTGAAATGGATTTGCCGATTTTACTTAACGCGCCGATATCCGTTACACTACCCACATATCTATCAAACCTATACGCCACATCAAAACGAAGAAGGAGAGGAATAAGATAAGATAAATGGATTTATGAAAACAGTATATGTCAAAACAACAAGCAAGCGCGGAAGACCAAAGCAACAATCGGCTGGAGCACTGCATTGAAAATATCAGAGATGAAGACAATAACCTCGAAAACGATTGCAATGAATCTAACATTTATTTCGTGCTTTTAGTTTGTAAATCTTCGAAAGGACCAATGCTTAAAGCCAAACAACCATTTGGAACGTTGTCTATGCACAGCCTTCAGACACTCCAATAAAACACCCACCCACCCACGCAGAGATAAGCACGGACATAGAAGACTATACGCGGTATTTCCACAATCGATAAAAGCCAATGTTATTTCGAAGGAAAACAACGATAAAAAAAAGAAGCCTGAACACATCATAGTATTAAATATTTTAGTGGAACTACGTTGAAATATTTCTGTCAAACAATGAAGCCATGCTAAAAATGTCATTTTTGGCAAATTCTTTTGGAAAAGTCTTGAAGCCCAAATCCCGAAAGTCCTGGCTTCTGACGCAGGATATCAGGATTAACGGCTTTTGCACTCAAGACGAAAAGTCATAAATCCTAGAATTCCCCAAGGAGGATTGACGTCTGTTATCAAAGCAGGTGACCACATAATGCATCAGCTTATGTTTATGCTGAGCATCAATCAATATTTACTCACACAATGTTTATATTGCTCTATCTCAGGCCGTTATCTGTATTTGTCTAATCATTATCTATCTATCTATCTATCTATCTATCTATCTATCTCAGTCACACCATATCTATCTATCTATCTATCTATCTATCTATCTATCTATCTATCTATCTATCTATCTCAGCCTGTTAATATCTATCTATCTATCTATCTATCTATCTATCTATCTATCTCTTTCGCTCTCTCGCTCTCTTTCGCTCTTTCTCTCTCTAGATATATATAGCTTTCAGTATCTATCTATCTATCTATCTATCTATCTATCTATCTATCTATCTATCTATCTATCTCTTTCGCTCTCTCTCTCTTTCTCTCTCTCTTTCTAGATATATATATATATATAGCCTTCAGTATATATATATCTATCTATCTATCTATCTATCTATCTATCTATCTATCTATCTCACGCTCACGTACACACGCATACATCAACCGGGCGGCTCCCCAAAAAATCCTTCTATTTTTTAAACAGCCTCAAAGCATCGGATGCGGTGCTTTGATAGTAGAAATTGAATTTATAATATATATATTGTCCTCCATTATTCCACATATTGAGTCATTGTTTTGGTATCTATCTATCTATCTATCTATATATATATATATATATATATATATATATACACACACACAAATATATATATATATATATATATATATATATATATATATATATATATTATCAGAAACCTAGGTCGAAGCATTTTCCCAAATATCATGGCCCGCAAGGTGCCGGATACATAGGAGTGCCGCGAGAAACGAAGAAACAGGGAATCACCTACTGTTAATAATTTGTAAGGCTAAAACAGATCGACATGCGAGCATCAGCCTTTGAAAGTCCTAATTCCCAGATTCATGAGGAATGATTGCCTTATGCGTATTGTTAGGTGTGAGGTTGTCACTTGCTCGGCCAGTCATGTCTCTTTTCGATTCATGGTCGCCCAAGTGTATTGGAAATGTAAAGAATCCGACTTGTATTCGAACTCGGAATTCTGGTTTCGCACTCCCAGTCGTTATCCTGTTACACCGTCCGATTGTACGGAACCTGGTAGTCCAAAGAGGTCACCCACCTCGGCACTGCTCTGGTTCGACCTTGTTTAACTAGAGTAATCAAGACGAGAACTGGTATTTCGACCTGATACAGCCGTACGCTTTCTCATCAAATACCATTTCAGAAATTGTAGTTGGAAATTATTCAGTCTGACTTATGGTAACTCAGAGAATAGATTTTTGAAAGAATATTGGGATATCTAGAAGTACGCTAGTGTGAGTAGATCCATAGTCAAAAGCGTGAGAACTGAAACTTCTAACAATGGAACAATGACGTCAGTTCCGGTGAGTCTCGTTTTGAATAAATGATTCGTTTTCTACAGCTTACAAACGCTTTGCACAGGGCTCGTCTCTAGGCTGGTGGTATCACGGCTATGACTAGCTTAGACCAGCTCTGACCAGCTTGGACAAACTATGACCAGCTTAGACCAGCAGCCCGAGTGAAAACATTCGGCTCCCTACGTTAAAAACTGCACTTGTGTCACAACCTGACTCAGTGGGGGGGGGTCAAGTTAATACGCTTACAAACGCTTTGCATCTTATTTGAAACCAAAGGATATTTTTAGACTGTAAGATTTTTTTCTTGAAATAATAACGATTTAGTGATACCAGTTTTACCAATTGTAAAGTGATGGATTCATGCATTTCCTAAGATATATTTGCGTGTAAGTGAATATAAGGAACTTAACGGGAAACGGAACTCGGCTATCCGATTAACAATTCCTAGCTATTATGCATTACACCACGAGCTGATCAATTTTACGGCACATGGTTTTCCCAAGCGGCCACTCTGACCAGGTTCAACGTTGCTTCATTTCGGCGATCGTATGTGAACCTGTGTTTCAACGTGATGTGACCGAAATCCTATGTAATGATACCGAAGAAGGCATCATAATACAATAAGCTCACAGAGATGGGTGCAATGGTTTGAATAGCATTTGGAGGGATAACAATGTGTGGTTATTCCATATAAAAAATCTCAGAATAAACTCTCTCTCACACACACATACACCCACAAATACAGAGTCACATGTACACAGACACATATATACATGGTGGATAGCGCCTCGGATTGAAGAATCAGAGAGCCGATTTCGAATTCCAGTCGAATCCATTACATTCACTTACGTGATAATACCTTTGGAAAAGGTATTAATCCTATTCTTCTCCCCCCCCATCTATGGGTAAATAGCAGGATAGACTGGATTCTGTAGCCTTGAATGGCAACTGGTCTAGGAAAAGGACAACTCTGAATTCAAAACCTGCGGAGGGTCGCTTAGGGACTTTGTGGCAGGTAGTGCACTAGATCGCTGTATTCGAACTATCAGAAAGTGTGGTTGGTTCCGCACAAAGCCTTCATCACTATAATCAAATCATATGTGCCGGTGTCTGGGCTGCCGGTCCCTTGGAACTCAGCTGCTTGATCCTCATTTCGTTTTTAATCATTCCACCCCATACAAGGTGTCAGTGTTAGTAGAAATGAAAGAGAATCGAGAAATATTTAGTGAGAAGAAAGGACACTGAAAGAACCGAGTTCAAGAAGACAGGAGATGGTGACTGAAGTTGCACGTAATTTCTTGAAAATTGAGAGAACCAGGGACGCAAGAAATCGAAAGAGACATTCACACATGAAAAGTGCAAGAAAAGACATTAGTAGACCAGAAATTACGGTTACAGCTATTTAACCATTAAAACGAGGAGACCTTGTCAATCTATTAATACGCTTAAATCGACATAGGGGAGAGTTCATTTGAACAACAAAATATTTATTGAAAAGACAGAGGGGAGACACGTCATGGCGGTGGGAAAATGACGTGGCTAATCTCTGTCTATTTTATAAATATTTTCATGGCATATTATAATGACGAGACCTAACTGCCAATCTAGCACCACACGTAACTTCATGTGATTAAGGTACCAAAGAGGAAAGCCAAGTATAAAAATTTCCATGAAAATATTTATAGAAAAGTCATAGGGAAGGTACGTTAGGGCGGTGTGAAAGTGACTGAAGTCGAGATGCCATGTCAGGACTGATAACATTGCAGATACTACTTTGGATTTTTTTTTCCAGAATCTGGAGATATATAAGCGGAGCACTTGAACAGGTATTTCCAGAATAGTCAATTCTGAGGAGAAAAATTATCTGGTATGACAGAGGTAAACGACCTTAGATAAATCAATTTTATATATTTTTTCTAGAAATCCAAAAGTTATTTTATAGATAACCATGTTTGAATAGAGACCTTATTTTTTTTTTCTCAAACAGTTTAAATACCCCCCACCTAAAAAGACGAACGTCTACTTAAAATTTGGTATACACAAAATAACGTTCGGAGTAGTAGTAAGAAATTACCATAATTTTCTGAATTCATCCTGACATTAACTTTGAAGATGCCTATAATTTGATTGCTTACTTCTTACGCAAAACATTATTCCAAATTCTCTCCATTGTCTTCTAAATGATGTTGGTTTGGTACTATATTAAAGGACTCTATCACTACATATCACTTTTAAGAAAGAAGTTTTCATGTACCTCTTCCTTTGTTTTAATTTGTTTCTCTCTCTTTTTATATAAAAGTGGTATGTTGGTTGTTTTTCAAGGTTTTTTTTTTCTCTATTTTATCTCGCTTCTTATATTCTAATCCTAATTTTTTCAAACAATTTCTTGCTCGCTATTTAGACTATTTATATTCGGACTATTTTCCTAATCTTTGTTGTCCTTATCGCTACGATTCGGTTGTTGTACCCTCCGGCCTTCCTCAGGTGTATACGATTAACCATAATTTTATCATATAGACAAAAGAGTTTACTCACTAAAAAGATGCATCTTCGTTTCGGTGCATTTCAATTGCACCTCGACTGGTGAGAAAAAAATGATATGAACAAACTCTGCTTGTAAGCAAGCTGTATGTAAAACGTCACATCATTTTTTTTCCATTTGCTTGAGACCAAGTTGCATCTTTATAGTAAGTATACTGTTTTTGTCTATTTGACAAAATTATAATAAATAATTATCGTTCTATTATCGGTATCGAGCCCTCAATTGGATTAATGCTGTGAACGTTTATATACTACGTTTGTTCTCGTTTCGGTCTAAGAGATGAACACAAGACCTGGCTTCTTTAATATTTCCCCTTTTTCTAGCAAGATTAATGCTCGACAAACGTACATATAAGTTTTAGATTAAAATAAAATTCTTTTCGTTTTTTATTCAAAATACTCAAATTTTAGGAATACGTTTTCACAACATCGCCCACGTGACGAAGACGTGATCATATTTAAACGGAACACTGATCTTATAAGATTTCAGTTATCTGTTTGGATTGGTATTGCTTTTATGTCCATCGTCTTTTTCATGTTGAATTGTATATGGTCTATGTTAATTATGTTTTATGAATACGTCCTGAAGATGGTCTATTAGACCGAAACGTCCGACGTTGACATTAAACATTAAAACAGCATAATCGCATATTAGGATTTTTGTTTGTTATTTCAGTATATTTTTCTTCATATTGTCGGATCTATGTCCATATATTTGCTTACACACACACACACACACACACACACACACACACACACACACACACACATATATATATATATATATATATATATATATATATATATATATATATAAACGCACTATCCAGCCGGGCTTAACCATAAATTTAACAATATAGATAGTATTAATATATAACCATACAAATCAAAACCTGCCCACATTTCTCACCCACACAAGACAGACATGCTCACGGAGAGGTTGAGGCCCCACACTTATACACACACCCACACGAATGTACACACTTACGTACATCACACTCACTCACTTAATGAGCCAAATGATAACACACACGCATAGTAATATACACGCTTACACACATCATACTCACCCACTCCCTAAGAACCAAATAAGACACACACACTTAACAAAGACACATCCACTTTCCAAGAACCAATAAAACTGTCAAAATGACCAAGTGAATTCAGAGCAGCATGAATCCATCCAGCTCTTATCTTCAATAACAACTTAAAAGAGACTGTATGACCAACACAAGTTTCTTCATGTTTATCTGATCGGAGTAAAGATCATACGGTCCGCAAACCGGGCCGCATGGGTAAACGTGATCTTTTTAGTAGCTGTGTGGTATGCGATTTGCAAGGGCTACATACTTAGTGTCCCAATTTGAATACAGAAAGGTATTCGCGCAAAAGCGAATGCAAAGAAGTGGATCTGACCATATTATTTCCCAGCTACCAACCGTTACACTCATCGCATATACACAAGCAAATTCACTGAACGATGGATCGTTATTTTTTCTTTACATTCTTGTTTTTAATCGTATCAGTCTATTAGTTATTGTTTTATAGGAATAAATTTTCGCTGCCGACACTTGAGTTTGAACAGAGATCCCCAGTGAGCAAACACAGGCGATCCCATTATTGAATTAAGTAGCTCACGTGACCATTGAGAAACGCATAATTAGAATGTAGCGTGGCGTCTTAACGATCTATATTTCTAGTCTATCCTCTATTACTATTCGTATCACTATTTCTCCTCTATTACTATATTAATCAACATTTCTACTATATCCTGTATGACTATAAATACTTTACTCTATTCCTTATACTATTTCTCTAATCGAATCACTATACGGAGTTTACTTTTCGAGCGAGAATTAACGAGCAAGTACTATTAGTGCGAGTGATATTCAAAGGCGTCTGACACCAGTATTGTTCAACGGCGTTACTATAGTTGTATCTGCGATTACAAAGTCTCTACTACAACGAGCATTACGAAAGTGACGAGTATTTGTTGGCATCACAAAAGTGTCAACGAGCGTTTGTTGACATCACAAAAGTTAGTATATGGTGGTTGATCATACGACATGTCAAACTTTGTTGGGTTATTTAATGTCGAATTTGTATGGGTCACAATCTACTCAGCACGAATTATCAATCAGCCTCGCCTCTCTAATCATTAGCCCAGAAAAAAAGAGCCTTTTCCTTACAGTTCAGATCTATCTATCTATCTATCTATCTATCTATCTATCTATCTATCTATCTATCTATCTATCGATCTGTGTTTATTGAAATCTATCTATCTATCTATCTATCTATCTATCTATCTATCTATCTATCTTCACCCAAGCAAGGAGACAACGCCATTAAGACGTAAGTTGCTACTCCCAGTGAAAGAGAACGACAAAAACCTATAGACTGTAACGGAAACCCAAATCTAAACAAGGAGCAAGGGATAAATATCTACACCTGTTCAAAAAACCGGGAAGGAGTGTGAACCGGACGATAGTTGAATTTGTCTACATCTACTGAGGTGAAAAAAAAATAGTGAATAAATTTTAGACGGGGGCGTGAGAAATATAAAGTCGATGCCGTATTTGGCAGGAACCGGAAATCCAATCCTAAACAGGGAAAAAGTGATAAACCTCCACTAATCTATCTATCTATCTATCTATCTATCTATCTATCTATCTATCTATCTCAATCTGCCCATATCTATCATTCCTGGTTCAATTGTATCACTCAGTATGAAGCCATTCATGTATACATTTATGACGTCATTCAAAGTTCAGATCTATCTATCTATCTATTTATCTATCTATCTATCTCAATCTGCCTATATCTATCATTCCTGGTTCAATTTTATTTTACAGTATGAAGCCATTCATGTATACATTTATGACGTCATTCAAAGTTCAGATCAATCTATTTTCTATCTATCTATCATTTATGACGTCATCTATCTATCTATCTATCTCAATCTGCCTA